ACAAATTCGAACAAAACATTCGAATATATATATATAATGGAAACATTAAAGTTATTTCATCTGAATACATTGAAATTAGATTATTTTAAAATCAAATCACAATTCAAAGATAATTTCTAACTTTGCTTAATTAACCTAGTTTCATCAAACTGTTGATAGCTGAATTACTTAATCATTTTTTTTTATTGTTTATTTTTAGAAATATCCTATTTATATATAGTTTTTATTTTTGTCTTAAAACACATCTTTCTGATCATAGACACTCTCCTAGATAGTAATCTATGTTAAAAACTGACATTCATCTATCTGTCCCAAATACAGGGTTCAAATTTATTTCTATCAATAAATGCACTAAAATTCATCATCAAATCAAATTATCATCTATAACTACAATAAATAAAAATATTTTATTAACAATTCATTTTTCAGGATATAAGTTAGATCCATAGCTTGAGGTAAGATATTATTAATAAAATTTAATATAAAAGTTATTTAAATAGAATATAATATAATTTCATGAATATATATGCAAAATTCTTTTACTTCAAAGTTTATTACAGTGATGTTTAATATTCTATAACAGATATTTCACCTAAAGTACAATATAAAATACAATAATGTAAACTTATTTTTTAACTTAATAGCTTATTATATGTATTGTTTCTAGTCATAATAGTTAATAAAAAAGATAATTCTAAGTTATTCCAACTTGAAATTTAGTATCCAGAAATTATTTCAAATCTATGGATGTTATTCTAACCATTCTCTGAAGATTAATTTAAAAGACATCAATTTTTCTTCAGTAATTTTTTGAGAGTTAGCAAAGCCTCTTCTATGCACAGATTAAAGACCAGATAGCGAAATCTTGAAAAGTTTTTGTGGAGTCCTCACTGGTAATAAGCAGAACCATTCATTTCTTTAGAGTTCATCCAGTGAAGATCACAGATATATTTTTTATATACCTTCTACTTTTATTACTGATAAATACTGTATATTTCCACAGATAAGACAATAGTTGAATCATAAAAAAAGGCCCCCAAAATCTTGTTGTCTTATAGGTCAAATACAAAAATAATAATTAGATTGAAATTTATATAAATTAAAGGCGGAGGTGTTGGTGACTTTTTTGCTGAGCTGTTGTGGCGACGTTAGTCATGGAATTTTTACAACAAAATAATAAGTTTAGAACTGAAATAAGTAGTTTAAATGTTTTATTAACTCGAATAATAATTCTAATGTTACTAATGATTGCTGGTATTGAGTTAAATCCCGGACCTTTTCCTCGATCCCCTCCATTACCAAGTCAAGCAGGTATGCAAAAAAGGGGACGAGGAAGACCACATAGAGAGTATACAAGAGATATAGAGGAAAATACTCAGACAAGCGAAATGTCAGGAGAAGAATACTTAATTGAGGAACAATCCAAGAACAACACTGATATCTCAAGGTATGGTACAATAAAAGATTTTTTTGAACCGGAAGAAGATTTACGAACAAAGACTGTTGAACCTGAATACTCACTGAAATCAGTTTATGAATTAATCCAAGACAAATTTGATCGTCTAAACGTCGAAATCCGTTCTATGAGAGCTGAAATTAACCGTATGAATGAAGAAAATTTAAAGATAAAGGAAGAGATGAAGGACATGTACAAAAAATACGTATATTAGAAGAAAGAACGGACTCTCATAGCAAGCTAAAAGGTATGGTGGACTTTGAAATTGATAAAATGTTAAATGAGACGACTAAAAAGAATCTAATAATATTTAATTTTCCATTCAAAACCTCGGAATACGTAGAAGAGATGAAAACATTTATAAAAGAAAATTTAGAACTTAATAGTATAGAAATTGAGGGTTTTATTCAATTAGGAAATAGAAAAAATAACCAAGTAATTAAGGTTATAACTGAATCGGTTAAAGATAGAAACTTAATTCTTAATAAATTCTGGACCACAAGATCGAAAATGATAGATGAAAAGAAAAAAATAATAATATCAACGGACTTATGTCCGAGATCTAGGATCCGAAGAAAGTTACTACTAAAAAATATTAAACTAGAGAGATCGGATGATAAAAAGATAAAAATAAGAGATGACTACTTTTTAAAAGATAATATAATGTATACATACGATTTGAATACTAGAGAAATAATTCAGCTTAATCATTTTTTAGAAACAAATATAATATAAAATTATCTAAAATAAATCAGAATTAACAAACAATACAAGAAAAAACAAGAATAATTAATAATATGGAGAGTAATAATAGAAAAATTAGTGATGATAATTTGATAATCAAAGATAATGAGTTGAATGAGAAAAAAGTAGAAATTGCAAAAAGAGAAAAAAATAATGTGATTAGCTTTTGGAATATTCAAGGATTAAGAGGGAAATTATTCAAAACCTCAATGAGAAAATTTCTGGACTCAAATGAAATAATTGGTTTTTTAGAAACCTGGATTCTAAAATTTAGTGATATGGAAATAAAATATCTAGAACAAGACAATAGCATAATAATTAGCAATGCTAAACGTAAAAATAAGTTCGGACGCCCGTCATGTGGAATACTGTTACTTATTAAGAAGAGATTAGGTGAAATAATTCTCCAATATACATCGGATTATATCATTGCTGTTATAATAAAATTAGAGAATAAAATCAAAATGACATGGTCTTACACGTATCTGGGAGTGGTAGTAATATATATACCACCCTCTATTGAGAAAAAACCAATTTTAAACGAAGTGCAAAAAGTTTTGGATAGATGGTCTAGCCTGACGCAACTATGGATAATAGGTGGTGATCTAAACGCACGAATTGGCGAAGTAACTGACACCATATTTTTTCAGACGTTTGAAAATATAGCCAATAAGAGAATATCCAAAGATAAAGTATTAAACACAGAGGGAAAAATACTGCTAGACTTTGTTTATAATAACCAGTTAATAATTCTGAACGGTAGGATGAGGGGAGATACCCCTGCAGAAATTACCTTTGTTTCCCCAAACGGGAAGTCAATAGTGGACTATATTATTTGTTCAGAAGAAATGATAAAGTGCTGTAACTCTATGAATGTTTTGGGGGATGATCGGGCAGATCATTTTCCTATTCAGTTGGAATTAACAAAATATCAAAAAATAAGAAATGAATCATATAATTGTGAACAAAGTCACCTTATTAATCTAGAACTAAGACCATGCTATAATAAACGAAAATTGATAAAAGAATTTGATAAAATGATCGGAGAGATGTTAAATTTGGAAAAAGAAAATGATCCAATAGAAAATTATTTGAATATGACAACTAAATTAGAGGAATACAAGTACAAGAATTGTATACGACAGAACGAAAAAATATTCAAATGTGAATGGCACAACAATACATGTTATAGTTACAAAATTAAAAAACAAAAGAGTTTACAAGTCTTCAGACGAACAAATACCAGCAAAGCACTAACGAACTACCTAAAATATAAGAAAATATATAATAATTTAATTAAAGCCAAAAAGAAATTATATTTTTCAAATATCAGTAAGAAATTATCAGAAGCGAAAGACTCGAGAGTTTTCTGGAGAATAATTAACAATTTTCGTAAAAGAAAGTCAGGTCTTGACATACAGACTAGAGTAGGATATAATGATTGGCTGAAATACTACAATAAATTCTCAGAAAACTACCGAAAAAATTTTTGTCAAAAATATAATGAAACTAAGATAAGACCAGAAATTCATCGAGAGGAGATAATTAAGACGGAAGAACTTCAGGATTGTATTAAGAAACTTAAAGATAAATCAACACCAGGAGCCGATACATTACCTAATTCACTCATTAAAATGCTGCCACTAGAAATCATTCGATATTTAACCAGACAATTCAATCAATTCTACAGTTATAGTACAATACCGGACAAATGGAATGAAGTCATTTTTACCATGATATTTAAACAAGGGAACAAACAGGAACCAACCAATTACAGACCAATAGCTCTATTGTNTATTTTGAGTAGCACTGTTGTAGAAAACATGTAAAGTAAAAATATTATTATTATGAATAAGTGAAATTTTTATTTTATTATTATATTATTATAAACTGAGTTATGTCACATTTTGTTGGACAGGTTTTCATTAATCTATTCTTAAGGGTATCAGAGATCAAGCTAACAATCAAAACCTCAATTTTACCCACTATGGATGGATGAAGTGTTAAGGAACCAGACTCAATGCTATCTAGTGTGCCTCAAAATCATCATCTGTGAAGAATTCATATCTAAATTCTATAGTCTGGTGAGAAGATACATTTGCAACTTTAGTCATTATCATCATATTATGAGATCAAAAAATTTTGTAAATGTGTATGTATTTGGTATATGTAATATATATGTAATTTTTTCTATTTAGAAAGAAACAATTTACTGAAAATCTTTTAATGCACAGTTATTATTGAAACACTTTCCCAAAGAAATTTGTAAATATAATCTTTTCCAAGTAATTACTAAAATATTCAATTTATTGTTTTATAATAATTAATCTTTAATATATACATGATGTTATGCAGGAATGGGATGGAAAGATGAACTTTTAATATTATAACTGATTACAGAACTTTTATATTTACTTACAAACAATTCTTTTTAAAAGGAATAACAGATTTTTCCTCTGAATGATTACAATAATAAACTTATATTTAATATTAACATAAAATATTATTATAAGAAACTATATATGATTAAATTCTACTCTTCAATTTAATGCAATTATGAAATTACATATAAGATTATTTAATAAATAAATACTGGAAGATCAGATTGCATTATATTCCATCCCAAATGATAATAGAATAAAAAATTTTGCATAAATGTTGAAATTAAAAAGATCACTCATGTTGGACAAAAGGATTAGGAATGGATTCCATTCCATCCAAGGGACAAATCACAACTACCGCTGTTCCTCGGCATACCACTAGACCCAAGTGGCGAGTATCGTCTGTCAATTTGTAAGGATCGTCAGGATCTAAAAATATATTAAAATATAAAAGTTTAAATAAATAATAGATATCATTAACAACTGTAAAAATTTTGAAATTTTCATAGATGATCCAAAAGTAATAAAAAAAATTCAATACTGAAAAATATGTATAAATTTTAGTGATTCTTCTCACAGTAAATTTTGCATTTGATTTGATAACTAATAAATTTCATAAAGTGAATTAATTAGTATATATTTATATTTAAGGAAAGCATGACAGAAAAATAAAAATAAATACATGTATTTTCATTTATTAATATTCTTGCAATGATACAGGAAAAAAGTATTTGTTATAAAGTGTCTAAAAAGTTTTAAGACAAATGTCAAACATGGTATTTTTGTAATAACATCAATCTGCCAACAAACTGGTATGACTCTTTGACTAATATTTGACAACTCTTATATTATTTATCTTATAATAATTCTAATATAATTGGTTTTTCTTATAAAATTTTAATTATTATAACTGATTATAACAAGATAAATTAAAAAATATGTAAATACTTTGCCTGTATTTAAGCAAGTAGGTTAATCAATCTAATTTAGGAGTGTCACAAGTTGTTGGCAGGATGAAGTAATAAATTTATATATTTTAAAACATTACACCCAAAAGAAATGTATGTTTTAATTTTTGTGCTTCATGTACTGTACAAAATAAAAATATTCATAACAATTTTTTTAGTAACATGTAGTAAGAGAGCGACTTTTGATATACAGCAGAGCATCGATTATCCGACTCAATTGGGGAGTGGGGTTGGTTGGATAACTGAAAAATATGAAAAAATACATTATTAGTATAGTATATTAGTATTTCACTATTAACCTACTTCGAGTTGAATTTTCATTGATGTTAAGCTTAACAAAAATTTTTTAAAAATAATAATCGTCGCTATTGTATCGTTAAAAATTAGAAAATTAAGCCTCGTTTAAATACTGGCTCCCTTTCATGGTCGAGCCAGTGTTTCCAACTAAAACACATAACAATAATATTAAAGTAGCCAAGACATAGCCAAATATTGTAGAGCCACATCACTAGCGGACATTTGAATTTGCCGACTAGAACGCAGTCGGCTAACTGATGTGAGGGTTGATAGGAGGGTTGGATAATCGATGCTCTTCTGTAATCACAACAAAATAAATTCAGTCTATATAACATTAATAGTGTAATTTCAATATAAAATGAATTGTTAACCCAAGGACAGCATTACAAACTTACAATCTATAATTTTTTTATTATAAAACAAATAATGCAATCTATGGCAACTTCAATTTTTTAAAAATTCCTTTAATAAAAAAAAAATGTACTTTACAATAAACATGAATATACTGTATATGAATGAATATAGAGTAAATAATAAAATATTTTAAATTACAACTTACTTAAACAATAACACATACAGTAATACCTCGACTTACGCGATTTTCAAATCTCGTCGATTCGTCTTTTGAGCGCCACGCAACCCTTGATTACTCACTCCCCCCACACTATTGGCCAGCTTACATGTTCGGATGTGTCGCGCGGAATCGACACATAGCTACAATTTATTTTGTGTTATTTATTTCTGTGTTTGTTATATCTACGGAGACTTGAGNAAAGATATATGGAAACAAATAAGGAGAACAAAAAGTGGCTGGTAGATGAGCAAGTGATCTTACTGAGAGTGGATAAAAGTAAGGCAATGGTCCTACTTAAGCAAGTAACATACAAAACGATGATGATGTGGTATATAGAAGAAACAAAGTGTACTGGTGGAAGAGAGTTATATTGACAGACTACAAGGTTAGGTAACACGCTTCACAAACACATCCCTTGCCAAAAAAATGGGCCTCAATAATGCTGTGTTGGGATCACCAGACACACCAAGTCTTTTTGCTTTTGCCAAAACTCACAAGCCCACACCTTCCACCAGACCAATACTTGATAAAGTCAGATACCCTACTAGGATTCTGGAGAATAAGGTGCATTACGTAGTAGTGAATCTACTGAAAGACTATAATTATACAGCAAGGAACTCCAGGGAACTAATAAACACACTGAGAGGGATACCAGTTATAGATGACATCCACATCACTGTAATGGATTTCGGGGCCCTGTATCCATCAATTAAACTACAGCCTTGCTTCTGTGCCCTCAGGGATGACTTACTTACCAAATACTATTTACCATCTCAAAGAAAACATATACTTAAGCTCATGTGCTATAATTCATTCTTACATGGTTACTGCTCGGTCCAACCTATCGCGTAAGTTCGGGGTATTACTGTATAGATGATTTTCTTCTAGAAATCTAATTTCATTAAAGAAGTAAGTTCAGAGGGTAGAGGTAGTATGCCAAAATATCTAAAATGAAATTTTCAAGACTTAGAAAAAAGTCAGCTTATACTCTAAAAACTGATAGCTACTTTTTAATATGTTATTAAAAATGAGTTATATTTAGAGTGAAAAAATCCAAGATGTGGATGTAACAAAATGAATTTAGATCTAATGTTGGTTTATGAGTAAATAAATACAGATGGCATAAAAGTGCAAAAAAGCTGGAAAGGGCTCTTACTCATCTTTCCTGGCACTCAAACAGGAGTTAAATTAAAACTATACATCATGCATGTGTATGGTGTGTAGTTTTTATTTAATTCAAATATATACTATTCCAGCAAATAATATGTATTTGAATTAAATAAAAATGGAATGTTTTTGACATCTTTCAGGGGCCTGCATCAAGTATTGTTACATTAAATTAGTGATTCTAAGTTTAGAATGTTTTTTAAAATAATTTTCTTTTTGACATCAACTGGTTTTTGAATGTTAAACATGTATGTGATACATTTTATATGTAGGAGGTCAAGGAGACTTTAGGAAGTCCAATAATTTTCAATTATACTAAATGTAAAATTTAAGTAATCACAAAAGCTTAAGAGGAACAATTTTGTTGAATTATGATACATACTTTTTCATGTTATGTTATAACTGGGAAGGTAAAAAGACATAATATTTAATATGAAACATCAAGAAAACAAGTAATTTGGTATATTGCTGAATTTGTACAGATAAGAATATTTCAAAAATGGAAATAAGTTTCATGAGCTGTTGAAGCATTGGTAAAAAATGGCCAGTCTTTGAAACAAGATGTAAATGAAGGAAAGTACGTTATATTACTTAAATAATATGCATCTATGTCCTTAATTTAATCAAAATTATTCTTTCAATCACTATATCAGTGTATTTCTATTAATAGGACTTATCAAACTGTTGTATAAGATTACAGCCTCACAGTTACACAGATTAAAATTGTTTTATTGTAATTGTAAAATAAAACAATTTTAATCTGTGTAACTGTGAGGCTGTAATCTTATACACCAGTATGATAAGTCCTATTAATAGAAATACACTGATATAGTGATTGAAAGAATAATTTTGATTAAATTAAGGACATAGATGCATATTATTTAAGTAATATAACGTACTTTCCTTCATTTACATCTTGTTTCAAAGACTGGCCATTTTTTACCAATGCTTCAACAGCTCATGAAACTTATTTCCATTTTTGAAATATTCTTATCTGTACAAATTCAGCAANAAAAATTTCAAGTAGAATAAACATCTCAAAGTCTGAGTTATATTAAAGCTATATGATTGCCAAATAAATCAGGTTACATTACTGCTACTATTAATAAATATTGATTATAATTATTAAATTTAATACAAGATGATACCTAATGCCTACCTCTAGACCAAATTACATAGTATTTAATTATTAATAGTAGCAGTAATATAGCATGATTTAATCCTGCAATTGTTTGGCATTAATATATACAATTCACTCATGAATGAGTGAATTGTATAAATTAAAGCTAATAACTTAAAATCTTAGTTTAGTAGAGATATTAATTTATATACACATTTCTTACCTCTCTGATATTCAGTAGTATTATCCAATACTAGATTCAACAGAGGATCATAACCTTTTAAAATACCTGTTGCTGTATTAAAAATAATATAATAAATGATCAGAATTTAACAAAATAATGTTTTTATTAAATTGAAAACAATATTTTACAAATTTACACTATTTGAATAATGGAACTTGTAACTAACCCTTTCATTTTATTTCCGGTAAGGTAATATATATTAACCACAACACAAAAAATAAAGATATATGGAAACAAATAAGGAGAACAAAAAGTGGCTGGTAGATGAGCAAGTGATCTTACTGAGAGTGGATAAAAGTAAGGCAATGGTCCTACTTAAGCAAGTAACATACAAAACGATGATGATGTGGTATATAGAAGAAACAAAGTGTACTGGTGGAAGAGAGTTATATTGACAGACTACAAGGTTAGGTAACACGCTTCACAAACACATCCCTTGCCAAAAAAATGGGCCTCAATAATGCTGTGTTGGGATCACCAGACACACCAAGTCTTTTTGCTTTTGCCAAAACTCACAAGCCCACACCTTCCACCAGACCAATACTTGATAAAGTCAGATACCCTACTAGGATTCTGGAGAATAAGGTGCATTACGTAGTAGTGAATCTACTGAAAGACTATAATTATACAGCAAGGAACTCCAGGGAACTAATAAACACACTGAGAGGGATACCAGTTATAGATGACATCCACATCACTGTAATGGATTTCGGGGCCCTGTATCCATCAATTAAACTACAGCCTTGCTTCTGTGCCCTCAGGGATGACTTACTTACCAAATACTATTTACCATCTCAAAGAAAACATATACTTAAGCTCATGTGCTATAATTCATTTTTTAGATTTGAAAATGTAGTATAAATGCAAAAAAGAGAGGTACCAATCAGGGCTGCAGAGTCGGTAAAAAAAAACACTTGACTCTAACTCCAACTACTGCTAATTTTAGTAAGACCACTCCGACTCTGGCAAAATTAAAAACCAAGTCATTTTATGGGAGGCAGAGGTGCTCATAGAGAGGTACCCTACTCTGAACTCCGAAAGGAGCCCCGGGCATTTACCCAAATACTTTTATAGTTAGTAATTTTAATATTTAACTTACATTAATATTTATTTGTATAAAAATATTAATTTTTAACAAATATTTAATAAGAAGAGAAAGAGAACAATAAAATTCAATATCTACACATCTTTATTCAACAACATTTGCACTTCAATTTTGCATTTCCAGAAAAGTTAGTCCAACTAAAAAGTGTGTGATCTAGCTACTTCAGCCTCTTGTTCAGAAAATAAAAATATATACTCTGATCAATTAGTCTCGCTCATTCAGAAAAACAGAGTATGCATTTAGAGCAGGGATAATATAAAATGATTCAAAAATATTCAAATTCAATTACATCAAAACAATTTAACTATTAAACACAAATACTGCAACGAAAACTACATATTTAATTAATTAAATTGTTGCATTTTGTATAAAAAATAAATGAATTATAACAAAATACAAAAACATTTAAAAAAATTATTAAATATAAAATAAATAATAATAAATAAAATAAGGGAGCAATAAAAATTTTAAAACCCATCAAGGGCATATAGTTTAACTTTTGAAAATCATCACAATGATATAATAAATAGACAAGATAATTATGTCTTGAAATATGTATATTTATACAAAATAAAGATTACACATGCATATAATAACTAAAAAATGAAAATTAAAAGTACATACATAAAATAATCAAATCAAATTAAATAAAATTATAAATATATATATGTTACAGTCAAAACCCGTTTTTAGTCAGAACACGTTTTAACTAGTTGAAACTAGTTTATACTGAATGTCTTTGTTAAAACCAGTTTTGTCTAGTTGAAACTAGTTTTAACTGAAATTCATTTTTGACTAGCAGTAAAATTCTAGTTTTAACTAGACAAAACGGGTTTTAACAAAGACATCCAGTTTAAACTAGTTTTAACTAGTTAAAACGCACCCTAACTAAAAACTGGTTTCACTGCAACACACAGAGTGATTCGGGGTAAGATGGTAAGCGGGGGAAGATGCCTAATTTTTGATATTTTCAAACGGTGACGTCACATATTGTCATGTATTTGTATGATGAATCGTTGGGCCAATATTGAGTGCGGAAAGCTGTAGTTGGCTACCGTTACTTCATTTTCTACATCCGAGAAGAATAAAAGCTAGATAAGAACTAAGTTTTTGTTGTAAAATGTTTCTAGAATAATTTTAAACTAAAAGTTAAAATGGAATTTATTAAAAATTGCTAAAAACAATTAATGTGTGATGTAGTTAAGGTTCTAAAGTTTCCATTGTCAGCTACCGCCGATCCCGATCGGACATGCTGGAGCACGTGACTCTACTAGGCATCTTACCCCAACAAATGGAAAATATGCCACATTTTTCTTGGGGTAACGTGCCTATTTTTTGTTAATTGATTTCCAATATGCCTATTTTTAATAAACTTTTGTTTTCTCGTTTTATTGCAGGATATGCATAGAAATTATATAAGGACTTCTCAAAAAAGTTTTTGGACTGAAAAAAGCTTTCAGCTAGCTATAGAACACGTTAGAACGGGCGGAAACTTAACAATACTTATACTGTGCTGTTATACTTACTATGAAGTACTTTGTACTACATATGCAATAAATTAAATTTGGTTAAGAAATTCAAAAATTAATTTTAAGCAATTATATTTGTTATCTTACCCTAATGGCATTTGGCATCTCACCCAGATACTTGGGGTGAGATGCTTAAAATGCCAGACAGTGAAAAAGTCGTCATTGCAAACACAGTATAGAATTTTTTAAAATAAACTCCAAACTTTTATTTGAAAGACATACTCCAGAATATGATATTTTCATTAGAGGGCTCCTAAACTCAAATTAGCGCTGTAATTTTCTTCATAAGCAAAATGTTAGGCATCTTCCGCCAAATCACTATACATAACTTTATTTCCCCCAAACATATTTATGTAGCTAAAATTAGTTTTAACTAATGTTAAAAGTTAAAACTAGTTTTATCTAAAGTCAAAACATATACAGCAGTAAATTAACTAGACAAAACCGGTTTTGTCTAGTTAAAACTAGACTTTACTGTAGTCAAAAATGAATTTGAGTTAAAACTAGTTTTAACTAGACAAAACGGGTTTTAACAAAGACATTCAGTATAAACTAGTTTCAACTAGTTAAAACGCGTCCTAACTAAAAATGGGTTTTGACTGTAATATATATATATGTAATTTTTATATAATTTGATTTGATTATTTTATGTATGTACTTTTAATTTTCATTTTATTTATTTAATTTGATTTATTTGATTTTATTGATATATATATATCTGCACTTGCATAACTATAGTTCTAGAGGGTGCATCTGAAATGCACTGCAGGCAGTGTTGCCAACCCCTGGTTTAGAGTAAAAAAAGGAAACAAAAGAACATCGTGTAGGGGTACTACAACATAATGTATACCTTACTTTCTCAGGGTAGGCAATTTGCTCCTTTTGCCCTCCCTTTGGATACCCTGTGCCTAGAAAACTTTTTGACAATGAATACTTTATTGAGTCTGTACAAATGTATGCATGTTTATACAATTAATGGTGAAATCATGATTTCAAGACATTGATTTAAATACATCTGTACATTTAGCTTGAAATGACACTAGTGTTTTTATACATTATGATGTCTGTATTTTTTCTCTATATATTACATTCCCTTTATACTACATTTAACATATAATACTTAAATTTTCATACATCAGTAGCTTTAGTGTCAGTTTGATTACTGGTTATAGTTAAAAAAGTCTCATAGTTTGAACATTTTAAGGTAACAATATTTTTCCCAAACACCATATCTATGGAAGATTGTGATCTGGTGATGCCAAGTTGTGGGTTGGAGATCACTTTTATGTCAAATGTACCTTTCACAACAGTTATAAAGTTTTGTTTTCTTTTTCTATGTTAAAGTCTACTAAAATTATGGGAAAAATACTACAATGACCTTCTTGTGCTGTAATTGTAAGAGTTCATTAAATTTAGGAGAATAAGCAGCCAAATAACTCAACAATCCTTGACAGAAGTGTTGTTAGAGAGTCACATAGTATGACAAATGCTTTATTTGACAAATTATATTGTGTAATTTGAAAAATGTGTTTTGTACATAAAATCTAATTACAGATTTTGAAAGCTCATTTTTTTTTCTTTTAAATGCTTTACACCCTTTGGGCATTAAGAAGGCCTCTTTTAGCAAGCCCATTATGGGTTTAGCCAGGTGCACAATGGAGTGGCTGGGTGGTGAAGGTCCAACATAATGTGCAAGTGGACTACCACCCTAATTAATAATTTCAAATAATTACAACACATTTTGATTTAAAAGTTTGTTATAATCTGCATATATTATGATAATATTAAAAATTTAAGTTATTAAATATTTTCCTAATTGCTTTCATGTTTATAGTTGTGTGAGATGAAAATAATTCCTATTCTGGATGATGATGACAGCAAATCTTGTAATACAATGTGATTCTATTTTACCCTTTAAAATTTCATTTCATAATTTTTTGATGTAATTATGTCTATGTGGAAGAGTGCATTTGAAAACATTGAGTGATGGAAGTTCATCACAAAAAAAACAATTTTACTTTAACACTTTTTATTCACTTAAAACTGTAATCAAATGAGACAATTGCAGTCTTTAATAAATATATTTTTTATCAGATCAATAAAGTTAAATATTGAGACAATATGTCAATCAGACATGATGTGGAATTACTGACTGCTGTTGTCTAACATTGTTGTAAAGCCTGGAGGTTTTGGCTGGTTCCAAGTCTAAATAAAAAGTTAATGACAAGAAAAAGCATTTGACATAAAACAAAAGAAATAACTCTTCAAAAAATGGAACCAATTAATAATGCTGAAGAAAAAGGAGAAAAATTATTTCACAAACTTGCAAATACCTTTGAGCTTAGTTCATCTTCAAACAATAAATTATCTGATTGGTTATTATGATGATAACTGTTTTGAATTGACTTGTTTGAAGATAAGCATAAGTTTGAGTATTTGGAAGTTTGCAAGATTATATTTAGTCTGTTAAAGCATTTCTACAATTAACCATATTGTGTTTTGTGGCTATAATATAAATTAGTAAATGTTATATAAAATATATTTTTATTACTTCAAATATGTTAAATTAGATATTTATATATTAGCAATTTAATTAAATAATGTATCCACAAGAGAGCAAAAGCAAGCTCATGAATTCAAGGTGTTGTATACAAATGTTGTGATGATGGTGGTGGTGTAGAATGTTTTCGTATAGACAGTCAAAAAGAACACAGTACACGCTTCTTTCTAACAATAACAACACAAAAATTAAAAACACTTTAATTTCTTCAAATCAGCGAGTGACTCTCTGGCACTCCACTACTTTTTGATAGTTACAATACTGGACCAGCCACACAGCTACTCACTCCGGTTAGCTCCCCGGTCAGTACACACACTCTCTCTGACTCTCTACACACCCTCACTAGGCGGGACAATCTCCCCCACACTCCCGGGGACACCGTCACCTCACCCAACCGACATGTGTGACCAAGCTGTGGACTGTCCATCACCACCTGCCGACATCCACACACCTGACACATGTCTCACATATGTTACACTGAACTTAACATCCTCCCGCCTTGAACCTTCCAAGGTTCAACAAGTTACATACTTACAAAACAACAATTTTTTATTTTTACAAAACACAACTTCAGTTCTCCAAAGGTAAAACACAAATTTTCGATACACTGC